AAACCAAAAATTCAATACAAAAACTTGAATTGTTTTAACCATAAACGAACATTTGTTTGTGTATATATTTATTTGTCGGTGCATTCAATTAAAATTTCCTCACTTAATTAGGAAACAAACCAAACAGAGTTGATCACAAATTGATCCAGATTTCTATCAGCATCAAATCGATGTTGAATTTGCTTAACTTTTCTTTATCCAAATATGTAATGCAAAATAAAAGAAATCTCGATCGGCGATCACTGAAACGCAGCTAGCAACTGTATACTCGAAAAAGCAATGTTGCCACTTTTTCTCTTTAAACCATGTTCGAATCGTGGAAATTTTGGAAGATCACAGGGTTGCTTTTAGCATTTAGATTCTTAATGCAAAAATGTAGTTGCATTTAGTTGCATTTAGGTGACGAATTTTGTATGGATAAATGTACATTTAGAGTAGCATTTAGAGCTAAATGCGCTAAATGTGCTTTTACGCGTAAGCAAAAACAGCCTATTACACGAAAAAAAAGTTGAATGGCTAAATGTTGGTTGGCGACCAACTTTGTTGAAAGCGATTAGTTGAAAGGCCGTTCGACCAAAAGTAGAAAGCAAAGTTGAACAATGCAAACGCCTTTTTATGGCGAATATTTTTATATATTTTTATATTTTGATAATTTTAGCCAATTTTTTTTCCTGCAACCCTGCGTGAGTTGAACGCAAAGGTTGCCTGAAAAATCGCCTCGTGCGAAAGCCCACGAGCGCAATTCCCTCAATTTCCCCGTTCTTCTTCTTCCTGATAAATATCTGCCATAAAAGAAAAAAATCAAAGCCCATGTTCCACTTGTTGTTGTTGTTGTAGCGGCTACAACAATCCCGCCCAGATCGGTTTATATCTCAGTTGTTGTCGTCGAGTTCCACTAACGGCAGCCCTAAGAAGCGTGCAGCCTCTACGGGGTCGGTCCACAGGGACAACGCCGTTAGGGTTGTTGGCTTTTCCGGGCATGCGAAGAGATGTTTCGAGTCGTTAGGGGTCTCTCCGCATGCCGGACACTCATTCGGCACATCCGCATTTAGCCTACTCAGGTATGAGTTTAACCTGCTGCAGTAGCCAGAGCGAAGTTGGGCTATTGTTGTTCTTGTCTCCCGAGGCAGATGGAGCTCCGTCGGGTCAATGTCCGGTGTTTGTGTGCCTAGAACGGCGTTCACAAGTCTAGAGTCTACATAACTCGAGACAGTCCCTGTGAATGCCGTTCAGGGCCTGTCGGTATGCTGACGGCTCCAGAGGCTGCTTAATGAACCTCTGGACTTCGTCCGTCAGTTCATATAGATGCCTCCTGACTTGCCTTCGCGAGGGCTCCTCTGCAAGCAGCTCTCTGTTTGGGTGGCCACATCTGTGGCTCCCAACCAGAAACTGCTTGCAGAGCATCATGTTATGCTCCTTAATTGGGAGCATTTTCGCCTCGTCATGGAGGTGGTGTTCAAGTGACATCAGGAGGCATCTGGGTGTCCTGAGTGCGGTGTTTTGTGCTGTCTGTAGCTTCATCCACTGCGTCCTACTAGTCCCCGGCGACCAAACTGGTGCTGCGTAGTTTAAAACCGGCCGGGCTTTTTGCCTTGTATGTTGCCAGCAACGTTTCTTTGTCTTTGCCCCAGGCATTGCCGGCTAGCGACTTGAGGACTTTGTTGCGGCTCTGTACTTTGTTGACAATAGCGGTGCGCAGGGAAGGAGAGCAGGCTGTCGAAGGTTACTCCGAGTATTTTGGGGTTATTCACCGTCGGAATTGGTGTATCATCGACGTGAATTCCCAGCGGTAGCCTGACCTCCTTCGTCCAGGTGGTGAACTAGGTCGGAGAGGATTTCGTAGGGGAGAGGGCTGGACACTTTGCAATGAAGAAGCGAGAAATATCGGAGAGATACCACAAGGTCATCAATTCCATTCCCAGTCGCCATGATCGAGCAATCGTCGGCGTAAGAGACAATCGAGACTCCCTCTGGTGGTTTAGGGTTCATTGGGCAGAATGTCGAATCGTCTATCTGCTCAGCCAAATCGGTTCCCCTACGATCGTTTGACAGTCTTGAGTACCAAAGATCGTGGTGCGCATTAAAGTCACCTACTACCATTCGGTTTTCACCTCTGAGGAGCGCACCTTTATCAGGGAGATATCCTGCCGCGCAGCAGGTGACAGGGGGTATATAAACGTTGAATATTTCGAGCTCAACATCGCCTGATCGGATAGCAATGCCCTGACATTCTAGGGTGATATCCCTGCGGTCGATGCCTGCTTCGATAAGACGATACTGCACGGTGTGGTGCGTGATGAACGCTAAGCCACCACCATTATCTCGCTAGCGATCTCGACGGTGCACGTTGTACCCGGCACAATTCAACAATGTTGAATTGCTGTGTAACTTCGTCTCCTGGACCGCAGCTATCAGTATACCATGCCTTCCCATAAAGACGGTTATCTCCTCAATCTTTCTCTTAAGTCCGTTGCAGTTAAATTGAAAGAGCTTCATGTGGTTCGGGAGACCTGTGGGGTGTTAGAGATGTGTTTGGCCGTGACACCGTTGGCTGAGTGCGCTGCTGAGGTGGTTGCCGCCCTGTGATGCTGGTGGGTGGCGTCGAGGTTGGGGTTTGCGACCGTACTGCGCAAAACGGGCCCTCGAAGTTCCTCGTCCAGTCTCGCGTGGTGCGCAGACCTAAAAATGCCCTAAAGTGGCACCAGCCAAGGCAGGTGTTGCACTTGACTGATGTCACATTACGGAATATCCTGGTCTGACATACCGTGCAGATTGTAGTAGGAACCAACAGTTGTTGGCGGCGGCGTGTGGGTGGTGGTGCGGTTGCGTGTGTTCTGTGGTCTGTCGCGACGTGGTCCACTGCCGATGTGTCCGTAGTCCTGAGCAGACTCTGAGGTGACTCCACCCCTCGCAAGCATTGCACTTGACTGAGGTGGAGTTGTGGTGTAGTCGTCCCTGGCATACACAGCAGGTGTAGGTTTCTGGCCTTGGGTTTGACTCGATGCCAGCCCTGAGCAGAAGAAAACGTAGCGAATGTAGTCCTGAGAACAAACAACTTCTGAGATACTTCCTAACGACCTAAACGGGGTTATATCGCCGAAACAACAGCCCTTGCTCGGGTAAAACCCGAGTCATTCCGGTACGTAGAAC